TATGTGTGTGTGTGTGTGTGTGTGTGTGTGTGTGTGTGTGTGTGTGTGTGTGTGTGTGTGTGTGTGTGTGTGTGTGTGTGTGTGTGTGTGTGTGTGTGTGTGTGTGTGTACACTTACTTACATAGCCAAACCTGAGTAATAAAAATTGTGTTACAACTGCCAGCTCAAGGTGAAAATGAAAGTCCTTTATTCATTTTGTGCCTATAGTGGACTCTTTAAAGACTTGGACATTGTTGTTAAACATTGTTTTGTGTAGTTTATTTTCTCTTTAAATTTTAATTTATAGCTCTTACTTGTTTAGACTGCATGGCCACCTGTCTTTCTAACAATAGTCTCTCTCTAGCTGCCTGCTTGATGATAGTCTCCAATTCTTCTCTGTCCTCAAAAACACCACTGTTCTGTAAAGGTAGAAAAAAAATAGCTGTTAGCAAATGGTTTTGTTCTAAGATTATTGTATCTACAGTATTTGTGAAATAAAGGTGAGATTGCATGATGGCAAAACAATCCTCGTTTATCACCGCCCACTTCAATAACATGAGCAGCTTCTTACAAACATTTCATGTGAAAGGGAATCAAGTCGACTAGACTCTTACATGTTGAAATAAAAAATAACAATGAAAACAGGATATCATGTATGCAATGGGTATACAAGGCATAAGCTTTACTTCAATTTTTGGCCATGTTTCACGCTAACACATTTCACACTAACATACAAGAACTGTTTGCCATACTTGGATCTTCCTAAAGCTATCTGCCATAATTGTCTGTCTAGATATGTCACATCACCTGTCAAATCACAGATAATGACAGACATCTTATTAATTAATTACATTAATGCCTTCTGCAGTGATTATACACAGGATGTCTATCCATCAATTAGTAGCATCAGCATTGTTTAAAACACTACAGAGATGCCAGCAATGGTACCCTGTATGTAACTTGGCACATAACCTCAGCCATCATTTACAAGCATTTACAGGCAATAGCATAGTTAATGTAAATTTTCTTTTTTGAAAGCCTCAATTTTACTCTTATAAATAAAATTGAACAGTTTTGAGATCACAGTGATTTATTCCTTTTTTTATTTCTGATTTTATCATTATTTTATTTATTTTTTGCAAATAACTCACTAATTTGCTTATTTGTTTAAATGTTAAGAAAGCAATATTCCATCATTTCAGTGGGTAAGCTTCCATAACAGTGGGCAGCTATTTTCTTATTTTTGAAAATAAACAGCCTATTAAAGAGAGTAAGACACTGCAACTGCTGATACTCAAAGAACAGGATATTGGATCTTTACTCTACTAGCAAGTATTCTGAAACTTCAAATTTACATTCAATGACAATAAAAAATTGCCTGAAAGACATAGATTTACTCATATTGCATACCCCAGATAACAGCAGGTAGTGCAGGCCGAACTGCACTTCACAAAGTTTAAGAATGTGTTAGTTGTGACTTCTTCAGTGAATTGTGTAAGAGGTGCAGAAAAGTTTCAAAACAACCAGTAAGAGAAAACCACAATAATTTGTAAGGTGACAAATGTGTTGTATACCCATCCATAACTAAATGGAATGGTTTAATACTAGAAATAGGAGGAATTAGGAAATCATATGAAGCTAAGGAAAGAGCAGGAGGCAACAATCAGTTCTGATCATTTTTCTATCTCACCCCTGCATTAGTAATACTGTTACTGAGCTGATCAGCAAGGTCTTGGCACTTTTTCCTCAGTGTTTCCACCTCCTTGTCCTTGGCAAGCATAACCTTGGCATGTTCAGCCAGATCTTTGGCACGTTGGCGGGCAAATACCCTCTTAACATGGTCAACATCTTGACTACCATTACCACTGTCTTTGGACTTCTAAAAAATAATTAGATGTATTTATGAAAGATTTCAGGTCAAAATAATTTGTGAAGCATATGGTATTTTCAATTGACTCAGCCAAAGCATGCCTTTTAACAGCATTTACATGTCAGTATTTAGTTCAGAAACTTGCCTTCTGATCCTGAAATATAAGAGCACATATAATATAATAAGAAATTTTATATGTATCATATACATCTGATATGATAAACATAACATAAAAATTCATGAAAGAAAACCTATAAAACAAGCACTGTAACAAGATTAAAGTTAAAATTCAAAACCCATTATCTTTTTTTTTGACCGGTTAACTAGAAGCTGTCATTCTGAATAAATAAACCTTTATATGGAGGGGTGATGTCAAGATTAACCTTATGGGTTAATCTTTAACTATGATATTCATTCAAATCAAAGGAAATCATTTCATTCTGAAACTGTCAAAAAATGTGGCTGTGAAAGTTATGGTTTAAATTTTAACTATGATATCCAGTCAACTCAAAGGGAATCATTACATTCAGAATTTGTCAAAAATTGTAACTGTGAAAATTCTTTTAAGTATAAGTTTTAATTAAATTCTCAGTCAATATGAACAGAAAATTAATATGTATACCAGTATAATGTGCCAGGTAGTAGTTCTAAAGCTGACGCTATTTCTATATATAAAACCACCAATCAAACAGAGAATACCACTATANTTTTCCAGATTTGAATATAATTTAAAATTGCCATTACAATTATTCATTGAAATTATTAAAATTGATAAAATTTTCCGGGGGGCACAGTTATTCCACTAGGCACTGTTATTAAATATCGGGAATTTTTCCAGGGGGCACAGTTATTCCGCTAGGCACTGTTATTAATTTTGGAAAGTTTTCCGGGGGGCACTGTTATTCCGGTAGGCACTCTTATTCGGCACTTCAGAGTAAGTGAATTATGTTGATTTAAACCTAATGCTATCACAATGATATATATTACTCTTTCATATAAATCTTCATAACACATACCTTGGCTGACATATCCCTCTGAAGTCATAAAAAGCATATCACATATCAATTATTCAAGGAAAGATATTAATCTGTGGCTGGTACACATTTTCTGCTAGGTTATGTTACACAATGTAGTCATCTGGGTATCTCTTTCCCTATATCTAACCCTCTTTACTCCAAAGGCAGTGAAATTCAAGCAAATTCTCAATCTCACAGAAGTTTGTCAATAAGTTAAGTGAGTTATATTCACAGATCCTTTCTTATCTTTGAACCATTTATTACAGTATTCACTGTATAGGACTGTGCCTATCTGAAGTTTATCTATCCACATACTCCTGGACAGATCAAGAGGACCACAGGTGTCTGGACTCAGAAAGACTTGCACAGAGCAGGGGAGCATCTGTCAGACATTCACACAGTCTCACTGCTAACGACATCCTTATTCCATACAGGGAAAAAAGAGCTCAGTTTCAGTGATGAAATTGAAATTCTTCTAATGATAACTATATTCACAGACACAGAACTGTCCTCAATGTACAATGAATTTTAAATTTCAAAGTATACACAATATTTCCTTCAAGCTGTAGATATTAAAGTTTAAACAGCTACTGACACTGGTTTGGCTCATAAAGCACTTGATCATGATGACTAATAATATGCTGGTTATATATCCTGGAAACAATAAATCCAGTTATCTATCCAGGAAAATATTTTCCAAGAAGCCATAAGCTTCCACATATTTGTATTCAAGGTAACAATACCCTTAAATTTATCACCTATGTAATCCAGCACATAGCCATGTGTCTATAGCCGTGACTCAGATAGCATGTACTATGTTATGCCATCACAAGTTGCCTGGAAATACACAGTAATATGGTCTTTGAACTCTACCAGCATACCATAAAGTATCTAAATATGCCAAATGATGCACAGGTGTATAAACTTATATGTATTTAGTATGTATTTATTTGTATTGACTCATAACATCACACTACATCCTGAGTTCAAGTACTTGTGCAACTGCAACTGACAGGAGAAAAAATCCAGGTAATAATAATAATAATATGTTGCCACCTTAATAATTTCTCATTGATTTCAATCTTTGATTTTCTGTCAGTCTTTACTAAATAAGCCTACAACTTGAGGATGCCTTCTATAAGCTGATGTGTCAGCTGCTGAAAACTGATAAACTTACTAATCCCAAATACAGATAACAGGAGTTCATTCAGGAAAACTTGAACTTAAGTATTTACACAATATGTTTACAAAATTAATCTTTTATGCATTTAATTATCATATTATTACAAATATATTCTGACATAATACTTGATATCTCTGAATTTAATTGCCGTGATATGACAGATAAAGCAGATGTAGCATGCACAGTAATGAAGTCATATGACCTTTGACATTACAGACATCTGCAGCATTTGCAGCGTGCTTTGAAGGTATAAGCAGCCATTGCTTCAGAATTTCAAAAATAAAACAAATGAAAAAAAGCAAAAAAAAAAAAATCATACTTTTTTGTTCAATATGACATCATTTAGTTGGTCATTGAAAAATATAACACATTATACTCGACTAACTTAATTTTTGTGTCTTGCCCTTAAATACTTCTCAGCAAAAATATTACTATTACAAATTCAGTTGTAAGGCTGCTAGACAAAATATGCTTCCTACCAAGAAGAAAGATTTAATTATAGCAAAAATGCTATAACTTCCCCTGGAACTGTTTACTTCTACAGATAGAAAATGATCTGTGGGGTAAAACAAAGAATTCTTAACTTTAACAACCTTTGCTTGAATGATACTCACCTGTTGTTCTTCCATTTCTCAACATATCCATCATATATCCATCAGTGACAAAAATATTGGCTCATAAATTTGATTGAAATGTAGCCTACATACAAATGCACCTCTCAAAAAGAATTCTATATATTTTCAACATCATGTTGCCATGACTAGTTTATTTCTGACTTAACCAACCTAGACACTGTCATGAGTTTTGAATAAAATCGCTTAGTAGATTACTTATTCACATGTTATGCTGGTACCCAGATTCAAATGATTTTAACCCACACCATACTAAAATATTTTGGTCTCTTTAATGGCAGACTACATTAGATAATAATGCACTTGCAACAACTCTCTTGCAAACAACTCTCTAAACATATAGCAAATCTTGTTTGTATTATTTCTATTCTTTAAAAATCAAAAACTCAGTTAACAGATGCCAAGCAAGAACTATGAACTCAGCCCACAGAGTGCCTTCTCAAAACCATAAGTAGGGAAAATACCTTTAAGTTTTCCTGCTGTAATTGTTTGGCTTTCTCTTCCAGTCTTCTAGCTATGGCTGCCAATTCTGCATTTCTCTTTTTTAATTTCTTGATCTTTTCCTCTGCAGGAGACTGGTCTTGAGATTTCTTCTGAAAAGATCAGGGAAACTCTGAGGAATGGTGTCCAATATACACATGTATATATAAGTAGATTTTACCTGCAGAATTGCAACATGGCAACTGTCAAATACAGCTGGTTTAGAGTGCACAGAGTGTTCTGTATTATTTAAAATTCTAGAATATCTGAATGTAAGCCACAGTAAAGGAATGCAATTATACTGATCCCATTTTCTTTCTTGGCCTTCCTTTCTTTTCTACTTTTCATTAATTTATTCATTCATCATTTAAGTAAATTGAAAAGCTAACTGTCATGTGGGTAGATATACAATTATTTTTCTATGACAGCTGATTAAAATGCCACTGTTTATATTAAAGCAGAAAAGTAAATGAATTAATTGGTACACATGCTGAAATGTTCCAAAATATAGCTAACATACAAATAATCAATATATACACTTTTTCATTTTGCAATATTCACAGGAAGAAGCTTATGACAAATGTAACAAAATTGTGATTTTTGACTTCAGTAGATACACAGAATATAAACATAAAATTCATAATTATAATATAAGCAATAGTATTTGAAGTGTTCCATATCTGGTATACTGTAACTAAAAAAGGCCCCTCGTAACTTAAAGTACTTGGGTAAAGTCGGGAAAATTTTGTGGTCCATGATATTGCTTTGCAAGGGGGTGTGCAAGAATTAAGCTGATTATACTGAGTGCACCTTAGCAAGAATCCCTGTCGAGATAGATGGATCCTGCTAGTATGATAACTTCTATTCTGTATACAGCGTAAGACACTTGCTAAGGAAAGCCTTCTGAACATCATATGATTATGGATCTATTTAGGACTATCAGTCCATGCCAAAACTGACAAGTGGCAAATGAATTCTCTGCTGCACTCTGTTATATAACATGAACAGCAACAATACCACCACTACATTTCAACCACTAGTGACCTCTAAATGTACAGAAGCTGTTATAAAGTACCCATATATTCCACCAGAACAAGTGCCTGGATACTATGTGCTATAGTATTATTCATATCACAGCTTCTCATCCAGTATTCAAAGCAAAAAAAAAAAAAATTATCAGTGTGTTATCTTGTGCTGTTGCATGTTATGTAAAAGGTTTAGGACCTATGTCACTTTGGATAACTCTGCTAATGTGAGAAAATTAATTACTTTATCTATAAAGAATTAAACATGATAGTTAATAAAGTGACACTATGATTACTTACCACGATATAACCAAATCACGGCAATATTGAAATAAATTACAAAAGATACACCTGAAACCTCAAAGGCAACTTAGAAGGGATTCCTTTTTTGTTTTTACTACAACCTGAATTATAGGAAAACAAAATACTCCAAGAATCAATTTTTTTTTTCTACTGTGATCACTAAACAAGGATAACAATTTCTTATCATGTACACACCAATACTTCATTTTCAGCCCTCAACAGGGAAATGCTCTCCTCTAACTTTTGATTCTGGGACGTCAGATCCTTCATTTTCCTATGTTGAGATCTGTCACGATCATCCGAGTTATGATATTCCTGAAAAAAGATTAAGATAAAAGATTTAAAATCAGAATTAAATAAAACTGGCATTACATCTGCAATATATTCTGAACCAGTGCCAGGCCATTTGCTGCCCACTATGCACAAAATAGATAGGTATTAAGCTTTTCTTTTAATTTAGTGCAATCACCAAAATGATGCCGCAGTAGATCTTACACCTGATACACCTGCTTACTGCCTCAAAACAGAAAACCTAATAGTATCTCTTACAAAACAATGGAAACTAAAATGAAACACGCGGTAAAACAAATAAACACCTGCCTTGCTCATGGCCTTCAAGTGATTTCTGATATATAATTACCAACACCAACACACTGAATGCATTGCTAGACCTCATCTTACATGTAGCACCTGACATATGTGGTGTTATACAGGTGTGATACACCAACTAAATATATGGTGTTACAATCACTAGTCAGTTATCTTTGATTATGACATATTACATCTCAAGTGAGCATGGTGGAGACATTACCATATTTTACAGCAATGTAGAATATCAAGTTACAGAGAATGTGTGTGTGTGTGTGTGTGTGTGTGCACACTATAGCATGTATAAATGTGCATGCACATCCAAAATAATGGTTTCATCATTCTGATATCCTTGACAATATTAGTGGACATAGCTTTTGTATGCATGAATGTAAATAAATGTTCATGAGTGCTATTAACATTCATTAAGGTACTAGTACTAGCAAAATTAAACATTTTTTGCATACACAAAAATTATGGGAAAAAAATGTTCCTTTTTCAAATTGTTAGTGTTTTTGTCAGTGTATATCAAAGGCAGAGCTATTCCTGATAACTCAATGTATACAATTGCTATTTAGATACACATTTATAAGAACAATATATTTGTAGCTGAAAGGATTCAACATAACAGAACTATAAAATGGCATTTTATATCCTTATGATTGCCAAGCTTTCCTAACCCAGATAACATATCTAACTTATGCAACAATACACAGAAGCTTTCTTGCATTAATTTTATTCTAAACCAAATAGAATCGATGATTTGAATGATATTATGTACAAACACAACTGGGCTATGGTTATGCTATGGACCACCAATGCAGTTAGGCATGAAGTCTTCATCCATCTTTAATACTCATATTCATTGTTTCCAGGCACTATTTTTTCCAAAATATTCTAAGAACACTTTAATGTTTGTCAAAATATGCTTTATTCATTCTAGACTATATCGAACTCTTGATCATCTTACATATATCAATATCATTACACCCTGTAATTATCCCCCCCTCCTTAGTTCAGAATATACCACAAATTAACCAAATATGTCTCAACCCTGTCCCTACCTTTGCTTTTCTTGTCTTTCTGTTATACTTATGCTCCAGCGCCGTAGCCATAATGTACTGTTCGCTGATTGCAAGGCAAAATATTCAAACTCAAGCTTCAGTGACACCCAAATAATCCTTATCAGTATCAGTCTTACTGTATAACAAATGTCATCTCTCTCTTATCAAGCTGTTGAACCAAGAAAAGCCTTTATGGCTTAGACATTTTTAGAAACACCAGAGATAATATTGCACTTTTTCCTCAGATTTTTCCTCTCAGCTCATTCCAGCATGATACAGCATCCATACAGTCTAAGCAATCAAAATGTATCTTCCAAACTTTTCAACAATTTGCTGTACATATGTTATTCTGGTCAAAGTATAATAATTTTTTTCCCTTTTTTGTGAACTGTAAGCTATAAACTGCCAAATATAAAATGTTTTAGCATGACAACCATCCTTCAAATGGCAACAAACAAGTGTCATTGCAGATCATGCCAACTGCCACAGGTGGGTCATTAGGTGACGGG